ACAAGATTTCTGCTCCCATTTCTGTTGTCCTTCATCTTCACTCTGAAAAACCTCTAAAGTCAGTTTTCAATAGCAAAACCTTAGCCTATCAATTTAATATTTTCTCTCTGTGCTACATTGGGAATTGTTCAACTCTAACTCCCCTTAGATATAAAGACTGGAAGAGAATATAATTCTCAGCACTGCTCATGTTTTCAAGTCACATGTCCTCAGGTTACTAAAAATTTCTAGTCTGTGAAACACAAAATGAAATGCCAGGATGCTATTTTTGATTGACACCGAAAGCAAGGAAGCAGATTCATATCCATTGGCAAAATCTGGCAAAATCTTACGCTGGGCATATCTCCTCCTAAATCCCTTGAAGGAGCCAGGCTAAATTCTCCATTCCTGAACTGGTTTCCTCATACATGAGACTCCAATAAAAGCTTGCCTGACTGCATTACATCTAGTGCTTTCTGGTGAATTCTTTCCCTGGAGGACAAAGAACCCAGTCTTTGGGCTGGGGCCTATAACAATTTCTGTTGAATTACTAATTTCTTTGAGGCATTCAACCTGGCCACTCTTGGATTTTACAGCCCTCGTGGACCAAGTTCCACCCTTAACTTGGATCATTTAAGCCAGAAGTGAATTTGAGAAGGAGGAGTTTCACCAAATGCAGAGGGGTGACCATGTACATGGACCTAATAAGGAATTGACATAGCCAAAAAACTTTTTTCCCCATAGAAATGATATCCTGTCATGTCTCAAACTTTTCTCCATCTGACTAGTGAAGATGGCGGCTACCCTCCTCTGGGGTAATTTGCTAGTAAGGAGGTATAAATGTTACCACAGCAAATTATGAAAATTCTACTTTTCCAATTGATTGAGATTGAGAGTGTTTTCCTTTGGCCTTCATTTCCTAACATTTCAGAATTAGACATTTAATCTTATTTTGAAATAAATTCTAAACATAATTGTATAAGTGTGATTCAGCAAGGGAGAATGAACTCAGGAAACATTTGCTTTTTCATCATCTTCCACTTCATCTATGTTTTTCTTCACCTGGAATTTAATTATATTTCAATCACTTAATTTAAAAAATACTTCTATATAATGGCATGCTCAGAAAATTGATATGAATTAATTTTTCAAGTAGATACTGTAAGGGGCAAAACTTGGTTCTTAACTGTAAACATATATTTTAAATCCTCATGTATCATCTAGGAAAACAGAATGGATTACTTTAAAGGGTTCATTTAACTTTTTAAAAAACACATGTACTTTCGGAAAAGCCAACCTGTGTCACTGTAGCAGGCAGTTCAAACAAACACACTTAAAAATAAGGAAATTGTTGAAAATGTCAAAGTCTCTGGCACATTTCTGTAGCAATATAGATTTCTGTTTTACTCTCTGGCTAATGAACATACAGATCAGACATAAAAATAAATGTCTAAAATACATGTATATCTAATACCTATATTTAACATAGAGCATTAATAATATATTTGAAAATGTTAAATTAGCATTGAGAATATAATGCAATGGCAATCAATTGGAAAGTTCAAAATATAATTCAGTGTACTGATAGATATATTAAATTTGCATTTATCAAACAAAAAGCTGACATATTTCTTTAATTAATGGTCATTCGTTTTCACAATATATAGATACAAATACACTATCGTTTTTATTTTATCTACCTTTTTGTTGTCTCTCATTTTTCTAGTCCTAGACTTTTGTGTTTTATGTTAGTTTTTCCCAAGTTGATTTTGTTTCACTCTTTAAATTCATGCCGTTATTTGCTGACATAGTGAAATGTGATTTACAGCACAATAACCAGCCAACTAGAGAACATATTATCTGGAAACTGGGAATGGAAGCAGTAAAGAATATGAGGATCCACTAAAAATAGAAGGTTTCATATTTTCAGTTTAGTCATCTTTGGTATAAAAATCTCTGACTTCAGCTCATGGTGAGCTGCTTTTAAAAATGTATAATGGAGGGAACAATTCAATGCAAAAGTTATTTTTTAACTATTTTTTTTAGTCCATCAAATCTCAGTGTACATGGTTAATAACCATTTCAAACTGATATTCCAGGAGAAACTACTCTTACCTAATTGCCTGCCAAGGCTCATCAAGAGAATTTGTGTCATTGGCAATTCATTGGTCTATTGATATCATAAGTCACTTTGATATTTTTTTGGGTCTCATTTTTCACTCACACTGATGCTTACTTCCTTTGAGTGTTTATATCCATTAGTTCCACAAAGAAGGGACATGCCTTGGCTACGCAAGTTTGGTCGGTTCTGCACAAGTTCTCCTAAGTGAATATTCTCCTTCTCCATTACTCCCCTCCCCCCACACCTATACTTTAAATAGTTGGATATATTCTCCTCCAAGTGCAATTTTCTTATGAAATGAAACATTCCACTTTCATACTGATCTACATTGCCTTTTTTAAAAAATAAATAAATAAAGGTTTTTTTTATGTTAGTCATCATTTTTTTTAAAGATTTATTTATCTATGCATGCAAGAACTAGGGCACAGGCCAGAGATGTGGGGGGTGAGAGGATTCACCAGAGACAGAGTGGGGAACAGAACAGGCAGACTGACTGAAACACACTGCTGAGGGGAGCAGCAGGTGAGATAGGAGAGGTCTGCTGCACCATGTGGGTAGCTCCCTGGCGGGCCAGGGATTGAACCCATGCTGCAGAAGCTTCCTATTGCTTCATAGTGTGGTGCTCAACCCCTTGCACCACCAAAGAGACCCCTACATTGCCTTTTAAAGCTCTTTCAAAGTCTTTTGATGTGACATATTGGTGATCAAACTTCTTTATCTCAGAATGCCAGAATTTTCACAAGATCACAGCTAATGAGTTAGTTTCCAGCCTTATGTCATGAAATTCTGTTTCCAGAACCAAATTACATCTGTCAGTTACTTTCACAGTAGAACACATTTGTGTAGGTACAGAGCGTGGCGTGGTGGCCGGCACCGAGCAGTGGGAAACAGACATCTTGGGACAGCTCCACCATGTCCCTCTCAATGACTCTGCACCGTGTGAAAGAAGATTGTTCACACCTGCCAACTCTGCTAGGTTTCAGACTCTCAAGCCACACACCAATTAGTTTTCCATTCTCTCGAGGAAGGCAGGTGTGAAAAGCTGTCTTTTGGCAGTGACAGGACTGTTGTCCATTACCCCAGAGGAGGGTAGCCTCCATCTTCACTAGTCAGATGGAGAAAAGTTTGAGACATGACAGGATATCATTTCTATAGGGAGAAAAGTTTTTTGGCTATGTCAATTCCTTATTAGGTCCATGTACATGGTCACCCCTCTGCATTTGGTGAAACTCCTCCTTCTCAAAGTCACTTCTGGCTTAACTGATGCAAGTCCACCTGTCCACCCATCCAAGGGTGGAACATGGTCCATGAGGGCTGTAAAATCCAAGAGTGGCCAGGTTGAATGCCTCAAAGAAATTAGTAATTCAACAGAAATTGTTATAGGCCCCAGCCCAAAGACTGGGTTCTTTGTCCTCCAGGGAAAGAATTCACCAGAAAGCACTAGATGTAATCCAGTCAGGCAAGCTTTTATTGGAGTCTCATGTATGAGGAAGCCAGTTTGGGAATGGAGAATTTAGTCTGGCTCCTTCAAGGGATTTAGGAGGAGATATGCCCAGGCCTGTGCAGGTGGGTTACATTCCAGCTGCACATGCAGGCTCTTGGCCTTCTCTCTACAGGAAATTATGGGATAATCATTAGTCAGAATTTAACACTTTTTGTCTAACATAGTGCCTCATGGTCAGTGTGGTGGCCAAATCATTTGAACGGGGCTCTTTTGTCCATGATTTAGTCCACCTGTCCAAACAGGACTTGGGGCAACTAACCCTGCCACCTCATAATTTCTTTTACCTTGACAGTTTCAAATTCAACCCACTTCAGGGACAGGCAGCCGTATCAATCTCAGTTTACCATTCTGATTGGAAATAGCATCTGAATCATTTTCACAAAGTGACAAAGACATTACACACCTATTACATTTACCTGGTGCCTATGTGATGGGTGTGGTTTGTAACATACATCCAACAGGGTGTGAACCTATATCCCTAAATCATACACGGTGTGAAAAACTAACGTTACCTCAATAAGATACAATTTTTAACAACTCAGAACCTAAATTAAGAAAAAATTACTACAGTATTTTTTTAAAAACTGTGCAAGTCACAATGATATCTTCTTGAATATATTGCCTGCCTCTACCTCACAAATCTTAATATTCAATAATGCTACCTGAATGACTAAATAGCAGTCAAGGAACTCTTCACCAAATCATTTTCTTCTCCAAAGATCATCTCATCAAGCTCCTCGGGTAAGGCGAGTCAGTTCTCCCCAGGTTTTTTAGCCAGGACCGTGAATAGATCACATTTTCTCTAATAGTCACCTGAATTATTAAATTCTCCGAGTTGTTGCTTAGTCAAGAGTCATATTCTTTTTTTTTTAAAGATTTATTTATTTATGCACACAAGAGCTGGGGTACAGGCCAGAGGTGTGGGGGGTGAGAGGATTCACCAGAGACAGAGTGGGGAACAGAACAGGCAGATGGACCAAAATACACTGCTGAGAGAAGCAGTGGGCCAGGCAGGAGAGGTCTGCTGCGCCATGTGGGTTGCCCCCTGGCCAGCCAGGGATTGAACTAGTGCTGCAGAGACAGCGGACAGCTTCACAGACTGCGCCTAACCCCTTGTGCCACTAGAGAGGCCCAAGAGTCATATTCTTGAAAGCTCAACCAATGCTACTGCTTTCAAGTCAGCACCCAGGATTCCCATAAGTGATGTGCTGTTATGATTTATAATGCATGTTTATTAGCTCTTCCTCCAGTTTCTGGCACAGAGTACCTAAAACCCTCAGAATTTCCTAAAGGATTCTTTTGTTATGTTAATGAGGTGGCTTTTGAATTGAATCTGAGGTAGGGGCCTGGTTGCCAGGGAAACCAGCCAGGTAATTATTGGGTAGGCACTTCAGTTCTACCCTTAGACCTCTGTGGAAGGGCAGAGGGCCTGGAAATTTCTTTCAGTTATTAGTGGCCCATGATTTAGTCAAGCATACCTTTGCAATGAAGCTTTCAAAATAAAATCCGAAAAGGACAGGTTCATGAAGATGAGATTTGGGAAAGGAAGACAAGAAAGCTCCTTCTCCCTTCTCACATACCTCGGTCTGTGCATCTATTTCATCAGGAGGTTCCTGAGTTATCTTCTGTTACAACAAGCCAGTAAGCTAGTGAGTAAAAGGTTTCAATGTTTCTCTGAGTGCTCTAGCAAATTAACCAACTCCAGTCCAAAGAAGGGTCATGGGAACCTGTACTCCACAGCTGTCAGCCAGAAGTGCAAGTGACAGCCTGGACTTCTTAGTGGCACCTGAAGGGGAAGAGGGAGGCTGTCTCACAGGAATGAGCCCTTCACCCATGAAATTTGATTCCATCCCTGGGTAGATAGAGTCAGAATGGAGCAGAATTGTAGGGCATCCAGCTGGTGTCAGACTTGCTTTTGGTGATGTGAGGAACCCTCCCCCACCCACACACATACTCATACAGCTTTTGGATTTGGGTGCAAAATCAGAAATGTGCCTTGAGATGAAGAGAACATGACACCTAAAGTTTGTGAGCTTCTCTGCGTGGGGCTATGAGTAGTACTGTATGGAGAGAAGGTGGTGGGCATGTTACAGGGCAGGGAGAGGGGCAGCCCAGACCCCGCAAACCTGCCTATTCTAAATGGGTTCTGCCATCCGCCGCATCAACACAAAACATATGAGACTTTAATGGGAAGGAACTTTAATACAATTAGGAAACAAGACAGGAAAGGCAAAGAATCTAGTTTCTAAATCAAGCAAAGTTACCCGTGCCCTCGGGGGTAAAACTCCATCCAGATGGGATTGGCCCAGAGCAAGGCCCCAAAGCCTGCCACAAGTCTAAAGCACCTTCCAGTGAGGACCCACAGGAAAGGGTCAGAAACAACCAGACAAGCCCAGAAGGAAAAGAGCAAAATCAAAATCAAGATAAAAGTTGCCATGGTCACCTCCCCACGGGTCTCACCCACATCTGTGTCACCCCGTCCACGACCAAAAGACAAGCGCAGTTTCTTCACGTGTCTCTAGGTTCCATGCGCCTCCTCCAGGTCTCCTTCTGGCTCCATCCTGCTTCCTCCTTCTCTGTCTTCTCTGCAGCTTCTTCTCTCTCTGCTCAGCTCCACCCTTCTTTTGGGTGGGGCAGGAAACCTGGAACCTTTCCTGGGGACCACCCTGTTACAGGGAGATATGGTGGGGAAAGAAAACATGGGTGGGGGTCCTGCTATTCACAGACACTGCAGCTCCAGTTCGATCCCCGGGCAGGGAACTACCCACATGGCACAGCAGACCTCTCCTGACTCACCCGCTGTCCCCCTCAATGGTGGATTTCAGTCAATCTGCCTGTTCTGCTCCCTACTCTGACTCTAGTAAATCCTCTCACCTCCCACACCTCTGGCCTGTACCTCAGTTCTTGTATGCATAAATAATCTTTAAAAAAAAAAATGGGTGGGCAAATGGTAATCTGCGATGACAGGCAATCTTTCCTCCACTATGTACTTAAAATAAAATAAAAATAAAACCTAAAATGTCCAAGACGCACATAGTATGAGCCCACTGATTCCAAACTTGGCCTCCATAGCTCTGGCTACCCAGTTCTCTCTCTGTTTACTCTGGATTACTTGCCTAGAACCTAAGAAGAAATTCCCAGGCATGCCGTCACCTTGCCAATGAAATCTGCAGCCATTTCACATTGGCCTGCTGTTGTAATATGTCTGGCAGAATTTGGGACCTGCGTTTTCAGTCTTTCCTCTGGCTATGGCCCCTGGAAAATACCCTCTTTGCTCAATTTGCTGTGTTTCTACTCTGCGGCTGGTCTGGTCCTCTGGAGCATGCTGGAACGCTGATTCTCAAATGAGAAACGCTTTTCCAACTTAGGCCAATCTCCCTTTCATTCAGCCATAGATCTCTGCAGTCCTGGAGACTAGGTTTGTGTTCCCACCTTCTGGTTGGTGCAACTTCCTAAGATTTGTGTTTTCTCTAATTGGTAACAGCTGGCTTCACTGCTTGGGGATGCTCAACTCCTCTCTCTATGATTTTGGACATGCCGAAATGCCCATTTCATGTGGAAAAAGACAATGGACTCCACCATCTCAATTCCTCCCTCTCTCTTTTATCCTTTGAATGTACTCCAGCGTTTGCTCCAGGGTTCACTTTGACCCTCCTGCTCACTGTAGGTATCCAATCTGAGAAATGCAACCTATCCACAGCTCATTTGCAGAGTGTAGGCGATTTACACACCCCAGACACATTAATGCTGTCCTTTAGCAGTCCCTTTCTCTCTTTTTCCTCCTAACTGCAGGATGCTAACTCTTGCCACCCACAATTTTGGCACCAAAAAACAGACATCAAACACCCTCCCCAAGCATTCAGGAATGATCCCGTACCTAAAGACAGGAGAGTTGCTTTCTCACAATCCTTTGGGAAGGAAGATAGAAGATTTATGGACTTTTGCAGGAATCCTTCCTGACTCTTAGTGACTGGCTAGATAGAAGCAGGGAAGATTTATTTTCTCACTGGCCCTCCTATGTGCAAGCTCAGTCATCTGCAACCCAGCTAATTAAAAAGGTCAGTGCTGCTTTTGAGCAAAGCAGAGAAAGAGACCTGAACCAAGTAAATGTACATATTACTGATGACTATGCTGCCCTGAAGCAGTGGGAGGACTAAGAATAATGCTCATGCCTAGTGGAGAAATTTAGTGAGGAATTTTTTAAGGCAAAGGAGTGGATGCTATTGCTAGAGAGGTCAGACAGCAGGCTCCAGGCAAAATTAATAACAGCGTGGTTGTACCATGTTTCATTGTTCCTGTAGAAGGGGATGCCTGCATTATGAATAAAGGAAAATTATAAGAAGGAAGAACCTGAAGTATGAAATATTCCCAGCTCAATAATAAACCATGACTGAGCTGCAGAAGCAATGGAAATCCCCCTTCCTCCATCCTGTAGTCCAGAATAGAGCACATGAATATTTGGTATGTTCCAGACTCTGTAGAAAGGTACTTTTCTATATCATAGAAGTAATATGCTATTATTCTCTTTTTATAGTTAAGAAAGCAGAGATTCAAAGCAGTTAAATAATATGTCCAAGTTTATACAGCCAGCAGGTGGAAAAACTAAAACCAATGACGGTCTGAATCCATAGCTCACCCTCTATGTACCAAATGCAGTGGGTAAAGTGTCTTCAATATCGGATCAAATATTAGATACATAGTTGCTGCTTTAATTTTATCCCTTTATCAACATTAAATAATGGTATAATTAATATACATTTGATTATAATAAAGGAGTAGGACAGTGCCTAGCCCATGTTTGTTAAATAATACAATACAAATAACTTGAACTTAGGATAGGTAACTACACAGACACAAATCCATGTGTCCTACTATGTTATCTGTACAGCTCTAGGAAATTTTATTCTATTAGATTATATTCCAATGCAAGAACTACAAGTACTCTCAGTGCATTTATCTGAGGCAATTTGATGAAAACATGAAATTTCTCCAGAACACATCAGAATTGTAAACAACAGTAAATTATGCCACCCGTGGAGTTTGGAATACTTTATGAAGCCTTTTGTCACTGACGTGACTATTTTTTTATCTGTAATAGGAAGCTCTGCCAAAAATAGCCCAGTCCATTTGAGCAACAGGCTCAAAGTTTTATCTTCTTTCCTAAGTGGTGGGCTTGACATATCCTCAGGGAAGAGTGCCTACACTAGGTATGAATAAGAACCTTCTAGTATTTTGTGAAATGCAGGTTCTTCAACCTCATCTCCTAGATCTTTTGCTCCAGTCACCTTGGAATAAGGTCCAGAGAGCCTCGTGTTAAAATAAACCAATCTCTGATACAGATGATCAAATGACTATTTGATTGAGAATCACTTTCCCAGAAGATTCTTCAGTCTTGTTTTGAATGAGTCCTTCAGATTCATGCTCATAATTACAGTAAAGCTGTCACAAGACTTTCCCAAGGGTCCAAATTGTTTGAGAGATTCCCAGTTTCTCAAATTACTGGAGCATTCCTTAAACTAAATCAACTCTACATATAATAAATACCAAGAACTTACGGTATGAGACTGACCTTTACAAGCAGGGTTGTTGAAGTTCCATACAGATAAGATTTGCTTTCTTTTATCTGCTCTGGTTTGTTCTCAAAGTAAAGCTGTGAACTAGAAAATCTGACTTTCTATCTTACTTCCTATGCCTTCAACTTTCAATATTCAACTTCTACTTTCAATATTCAAATGTCCTTACCTACTTGGGATCACCAGCTGGAGCACCCAACCAACAAGATCTGCCCACCCTCCCCCCACTGTCCCCTGCTATGGAGTTCATTTCCTGCATTGAAATGTACTTCATCTATTTCCCATTTGGTTAGTATTCAAGCATCAACACAATGATAAGACTTAGGATGATTCGCTAAAACGAACTAAGAGATGAATGTTTTATTTGGGAGCCAACTAAATTTCAGAGAGACAGATTTGTGTCTTGGGTCCTCCATTTTGCAAAATAAAGTTAACGAATAAAAATAGAATGATGGCATCAGATAAGGTGGAAAAACAAAGCTATCCCTCCACTTTTTTGTTACAATAAATGCATAATTAATTCATCAATAACCCATGACTTTACTGACAATTCAACAAGATCATAGAAAGACTCAGCCAAATAATAGGACTTGGAATTCAGGATGACAAGTCTGACTCTTACTTTTTAAAGGAAATTTTTCAAGATTATTAGAATAAAAAATATAATCATAATCAAAGATCACGTACAAAAAAATCTGTTGCTAAACATGAGATCCCGTGGCAGTGTACAAAATCACAGTTCTGTCCTGAGATCAACAATTGTCACATTGGTACAAACACAATAGCTAAACAAGCTTCTCAGGGAAAAACAGAGAATTCTCCCATACAACTTTAAGAAGAAAGAAGCATCTTATATTTGAGAAGATCTTTGATGATCTCACAGTATCTGGCATAATTAACACTTAAATGTATCCTGAAAACGTACCAGTTTAGAATAGCATGAAAGATTGGAAGGAAAGATCCCATAATTTGCTGATACATTTTCATCATCATTAGAATTATTCAAACTTTGGCTCTGTCCTTGGATTCAGACATATCTAGAAGTCTTTGGCCTCTGAGTAATAAACCACTTAACCATAGCATTCAAATTTCATGGTTATAATTAACACTTAAGCCTTGGTAGATGCTAATGGGTTACTTTTTTTAGGGCATGTTATTTTAACAGGTTTTTTTATATGCAGGTCTTACAAATTCCAAGGATGACTCTAATGGCAGGAACTGCAAGCTCTATAATGAGATAGGAGGAAAGATAACAAGGAGGGAGATTAAGTGGTTTTGTAATCTCTAAAATAAATAATTCTATATTGTCACCTACTGCCCCAATGTATGAAATAAATCCTTATTTTAATACAGGGCTGACCACATGGTTCAATTTCAGCAACAATTATCTTAATCATCCTCCAAAGTGAGCAGCAGAAACATGGTTGATATTGAAAAAGAGATACATCAGAAGATAAAGCATAATTTCACCTCATATGGGCAGAATTTTTAATATCATCAATACTTTTACAGCAATTTATCTCCTGTCACTTTGAACATCTCTCCATCGGGCTGAGATGCAAGTTTCTGCAGACATTTTGGTTGGCTCTCAAAAATAGGGAAAGAAACACAGGAAATTGTTGGACCTCAACTTCAGCATGAGACGTTGTCTTGATTGTCTACAGATATTCCTCTTTGCAAAATTTCTAGTTTTGCCACATCACTTTTGTGTGTGTGTGTGTGGGACCCTAACCGGCTGCTGGGGAATGAACAGGTGTTGCAGAAGCTGCAGGCAACCTCACAGCCCAGCACTATACCACCAGGGGAGGCCCTTGCCACATCACTTTTAAGAAAGACCTACATTTGGGCCTCCCTGGTGGCCCAGGGGTTAAGTCTCAGCGCTATCACCTCTACAACCTGAGTTCGATCCCCAGCCGGCCAGGGAGCTGACCCACACATGGTGCAGGAGACGTCTCCTATCTCGCCCGCTGCTCCCCTCAGCAGTGTATTTCAGTAAATCCACCTGTTCTGCTCCCTACTCTGTCTCTAGTGAATCCTCTCACCTCCTATGCTTCTTGTCTACATCCCAGTTCTTACACACAAACAAGGCTACAGAGAAAAAGAGACCATGAGTAAAAGCACTTGATAAATTCTCAAGCACTACACAATTCTGAAGTATTGTGGTACAAAATCAGAAGCTTTTCTCGTTCAGTAAGTGACCCTATCTAAATACAGGGAAATGTTAAAATTCACTGACAACTAAAACTCTAACACTCTTGGAGATCTATTACAGCTTGATTGTTTGAGCTTACAATAAATATAATCAGCAGAATTATAAAACACATTTTAGAGACTTGTGAGAAATTCTAGTGCAATTGTAGAGGCGCGTGCTGGATGCTTATCTACAGGCAGATACATGAATGGTTATTCCCCAGCTCACCCCTCCCTCCTGATGTAACAAACCACATGGACCTTAGCTGCTCTGATCCTTATTTCACAGGTAACATCTTAGTCCAAGGTCATTTTTGTTGGGAAAGCGAAACAGCTGACCCCTTTCCTGACTCTGTAGCTTCTCCTGTATTCATTCTCACAGCACTACATGTTTTCTTTCTTAGCACTTTGCATAGTTAATGACAACATTGATATGTATGATTCTTTCGTGGCTGCCTCTTCCCCAACACTTTAGGTTAGGATGTATGACTGATGATCAAAAAACAAGAAAAATCTGGGCCTCCCTGGTGGCACTAGGGGTTATATCTCAGTACTATGGAGCTATCACCAGCCACTGCAGCACAAGTTTGATCCCCAGCCAGGGAGCTGACTCTCACGGCACAGCAGACCTCTCCTATCTCGCCTGCTGCTCCCCTCAGCAGTGTGTTTCAGTAGATCTGCCTGTTCTGTTCCCCACTCTGTCTCTGGTGAATCCTCTCACCCCCCACACCTCTGGCCTACACCAGCTCTTGTATGCATAAATAAATATTAAAAAAGGAAAAATCTATAATAAACAATCTAACCTGAAAGAAACTAGAAATAATAAATGAACTAAAAGAATAAATGAAATCAAGTCAGTAAATGGAAGGAAATGATACAAATTAGAGTGGAAATAAATGAAATCAAAATCAAACATACAATATAGAAGATCAAAGAAAGCAAGACCTGGTTCTTTGAAAAGATAAACAAAATTGACAAATATTTAGCTAGGCTCGCTAAGGAAAAAGGGAGAAAATTCTAATAAAATCATAAATGAAAGCAGATGTTACATGAACTCAGGAACTACGTAATATTTGGTGTTATAAGGAAGAATAAGGACTTGAACTCAAATTCTCTGACACCACATGTTCTTTTTTTTACTAAAGAAATTGTTCTATTTATTACCTGTGGATCCTAGTAGAATTCAGGTTCCCGGGCCTCATTCCAACCTTATGAAATCAGAAACTCTCAGGGATAAAGGAGTCTACATCTTTAGGTTGCATCCAGCTTGTGGACCAGGCATAGAAGCCACTGCATTATACCCACAGTTGCATCAACACCACCAAACAATGTGCTTATAAGTCAAGGATCCAGAATCCTGGTATTCTTACCTCTGACTCTCAGCTCAATGTGGGAAGTGAAAATCCTCCAATCTTGGGCTTCCCTGGTGGCGCAAGGGGATAGACACAACCTATGAAGCTATCTGCAGCACTGCAGCACACGAGTTCAATCCCCAGCTGGCCAGGGAGCTACCCACATGACACAGCAGACCTCTCCTGACTCACCCGCTGCTCCCCTCAGCAGTGTATTTCAGTCAGTCTGCCTGTTCTGTTACCCACTCTGTCTCTGGTGAATCCTCTCATCCCCCACACACACATCTCTGGCCTGTACCCCAGTTCTTGTATGCATAAATAAATCTTAAAAGAAAAAAAAGTCCTC